CGCCGAAGAAGATACAGAGTGGAAAAAAGCCAAGGGTGGTCAAGTTAAGACTCGAAGGTATGAAAACCCTAACCAGGAAACTGGGTCACATAGGTCCTGTTAGGCTCCCTGGATTGGGACCTCGGGATGATCGTAACCGATGGTTAGAGACACTGAGCGATATGGTCGTAAACAGTGGCGTTCGTGCATCTCCTCAATTTCTTCNTCTTCCCAACCTTAGTCCACTGAACTTCTCCATTTTCCCTTCGAATCCACTTTCAACTTTCCTTTCTTCTCCTATTCTTCATCCCAATGGGCAGCCAAAAGACAGCAACCAAAACCGGCGCACGAAAGTGCATGATTAATGGTTGTTCAAACTGGAAACTGAGAATAAAAAGGATGAACAATGCTGGAGATAACATTTGGAATGGTATTACAAAGACCTCCTTTGAATCAATGGGACCATACTAGCTCCTATCATACGAACAACTTGTTCGGGGGATAAAGAGAATTAACCATAGATAAGAAGAAAGTGTCAATCAGCAGGTTAGGACAATGGGCAGCAAAGCTGGCGAACTAAAATTATCAGCGCGAAAAGCTAATGCAACCCATTTGTCTGTTTCTTGTTTACTCACCTGCACCCGGATCACAAAGCGACATGTTAGCAACAATCCGAACACGATTGAATTAGACGCATCTTTCAAACCTTCTGACGCGTTCCATATGCTGAACAGGTTGAACAGCATCAGAGCAAGAAGAATACCAGCGCTTGTATCCTGAACCAGACCAGAACAGGCAGCTAGGGTTAACCCGCCCACTACTTCGATCGAACCGTACACACGCCGCACAAGATGCGGACTTGGATTCCAGCCCGTCCAGCGACTGAATAAGAACGGGCCATAAATTTTAACGAAAACCTTGCGCTGTTTGAAAGAAAGAAAAAGAACAGAACTGCAAGTGAAATATTGACACAAAAGCAACAGTAAGAAACAGCTTTAGAAATTTCTCAACAGTAGATTACGAATTCCAACTT